TGATTTAAACATTCATGGAGTTAAAAAAGCATTTTGCAAAATAAAAGTGCAAACTACTGAATAAGTCCTTAAAATATAAAGGCAAGAATGAGCAAAATAAAAGTTCAAAAATAACTACGAAAACTTCTTAGTATTAAAAAGTTTAGACTAAATATGAACTTAGTCATAAACTAAGAGTTATTTATACAAAACGCCCCGAAAAAGATCTGGGGACTTGATGTTTTTAACAAACCCTCAAATAAGACTGAGGGTTGTAACCACATTCCACCAAAAAAGAAAAAGAAGTCACATATCATAGACTTGTCACTGAGGGGCTGAAGTAGGAACCGAAGAAGGATCACCAGCAGCAATAGACTCAAGTTGATTTGAAGGAGTTGTAACACTCACCGTACCCAAATCATCTTCAATATGTTCAGAAGTTTCAGCCACGGGAGAGGGAAAGTCTTGGCCTTGCTGAGTCTTTTTAATGGTTTCTTTAATTTTAGCTAACTCAGCTTCCAAGTTAAAGTTCTCTTGGCTAACTTTCACAATGGTATCATGGCGGGAATTCAAAAACGCCTAACTCACTTCAATTGCGGACTTGTACTCAAGAATCTCATAATCTTTCTCCCATTCAGCAATTTCATTTTTGAGCTTCTTATTCTCAGCCAAGGCAGAATCATAAGAAGTTTGAAGAGAAGCATGCAAGCTTTCTAAGGAACGAACCTTATCAGAAGATTCCCGGAGGTCTTCTTGAGTCTGGGTTAGAGTTTGCACGAGTTCATCGGCATACACTTCTTTCTCACTTGAGAAAGCCTTCAACTCTCTGATTTCTTCACTAGCCTTGGAGAGTTGCTCGGAAAAAAAAAGTTTCGAGAAGATTCTTGTTCTTACCGGCTTGATTTGAGGAAGCTCTTTGAACCGCCAATTCCGAAGTTAAACCCTCAACTGCTGCTCTAAGGTGCACTTGTTCTCTTCTAACACTTCTATGCCAATTTGAAGGCTTTCATATTGTTCTCTCAAGTTGTCTGCTTCAACTTGATACTCAAGCATTAATTGCTCCGTGTGAGAAACCCTCTTCATCATTGCTGTACCAACAAGGTTAATCTAAAAAGAGAAAAGAAGAAGAAGTAAGAACCTTAACAAAAGGGAATAACAAATCATTAAAAAAGAATACCTTTAATGATGATTGTATTATATTGTTCATCCAAGTTAAAGAGTTATGGCTCTCAAGCTTGGCTCTCTCGATTGGACCAATTAGTGGTTTCAACCACACGTCAGCCCCACCGGATTTTCTCAAAAGATTACCATCGGCAGGGACCTCGATGATAACCTGTTTCATGGCTCCACTCCCGCTTGAAGAACCAATCTCAATTTGTTGAACAGTTGTAGGAGGAACTATGAAAGGAGTCAAAACAACCTGGGGAGGAGTAACAATGGCAACAGTCACGACTGGCAAAGAAGGTACCACAGGAGCAGATATAGAAAAAGAAGCAAGGGGTGCTTCATTAGAAACTGGGCCTAAACTTTCATTACCAAAACCGCGGGCAAAAAGTTGTTCATCAAAATCATGAGCAGCAGCGGGAGTATCATCATTCGAAATCACCAACGAGGCTTCAACAAGCTCGATGGGAGGAATAGAACGAGGGGAGATGCTTCATCATCTGAAATAATTCGTCTTCTAGCCTGTGGCCTTTTAATTAAAGAACCCCCATCTTGTTCTTCTTCCTCTTCAGAGTCTTGATCAACAGTAGCTTTCCTTTTCGATGAAGAACCCAAAATTATCTCTTGGACCCTTTCCAAAGAAATTCTGGAAGCTACAACGGCCTCAACACTTATGCCTCGAATGGGAAATCCTGACAAAAAGAAGGATCAAAATAATTTTTGGAGGAAGTAATAAGTGAATTTATAAAAATAAAAAAAAACTCTTACCATGAGTTTTTACTTTCTAACCAAATCGATGAGAAAGATTTTTTCAAGACCTACTGTCCATTGGAGCAACATTCAATAGCTTCCTTACCCAACCACGGAAGTTGGAAATTTCATCAACAAATCTCATGGTTGCTGAAAAAGAAAAGGAAAATTAAAATGATGATCATCAAAATTGAGAAAAAGATACGAGAAAGCTATTGAAAGAAAACTCACGTGCAAAATTCCACTTCTCATGAAAGGGAACATTTTCATCACCCACTAAACCAACAGTGGGAGCAGCAACAAACCTGGCGTACCAGCCACAGTCTTTATCATCTTCTGGACTGACCAGAACTCTTTTGCTTCTTGCCACTAGAGTAAAGACTTCTTGGCAAAAGAGTTTGGGAGAATAGAGATGGACTAAATGAAAAAATGTAAAAGGTAGACCAGTCATGTTGGCCAAATGCCTCAAACAAGCAACAACCCTCCACACAATAGGGCCAATTTGTCCTAAACAGACGTCGAAAAAGTGACAAAATTCGAGGATAACAGGATCAATAGCAGGTTTGAAACCCAACGTGAAAGTATATGTATAAACAAAAGAAAACCCAGTTAAATAAGAGGTGATTCTTTGGTTCGCATTGGGGATTATAATGGGAAAGTCATGACTCCAATGGGAATCTCTGCGAACTATAGAAATCAAACCTTCAGTAATCTGAGTCGGGTAGATGTCAACACGATCTAATGAAGACAGTTGGTTTCTGATGGATTCTCTATCATTGTAGAAAGATAATTCTGCATGAACAATTTCATCCACTAAAGGTTCACGAAGAGGTTCAGTGAGTTCTTTAGTCCTAGATGAAGATCTTTGAGAAAGTGAACCCCTAGTTCTAGAAGGTGGAGTAAAACTCGATGAAGGAATAGAGGGGCCTCGTGATAAAGAAGACCCTAAACTACGAAACTTTCCTCCTCTTCTACTTCTAATAGGAGCAAGAGAAAGGTTGTCAACAATGGGGACTCTCTGAGGGTTAGGGTTTGAAGAAGACATAGTAGTACGAGGAAGAAGAAAATTAAAATTGAATACTCTAAACTTTTTGTGAAAAAAACAAAGGTAAAAAGTTATATTTATAGTCAGAAGCAACCGTCAAAGGAAAAGGCGTAATGATGGAAACATCATAATGAGAACTGTCGCTTCGTAATTGGTGAAGCCGTAAAAAAGCCTTAAAAGGCGCTGAAGGATTGTAGAGCCAACTAGGAGATGCCATGTGTCATGGACATTAAATGGAAGAGACAGATGAAATATCAGTTCCTGGGAAGAATTAATGGCGGCAAATATTCCCGCTTGAATGAGGTCCACTTCCCAAATATTCTATTGATGAATAAATGACAAGTGGGGGACTATCTGTATTGGGAAAATTAAGTTTATATATGGAATTCATTATAAGATGATACGTCATGACACATGGACCAGTCAAAGAAGGATAGATGATGAAGAGTAATCAAAGAGGCACGAGCTTCAACATACATGGGTAGATATTTAGGGAAAAAGCAAGGAGGATAGGCGCTCGAACCTCTTTAAGATGGAAGGGAATGAATCTGATAGTAAATAAGGTATAGATACGTACTATTGGGCATTAAATACGGAAAACGTTAAGGAATCTGTATTGAATCAAATGTGATTACTGATTGTAACGTTACATTAAATGTCATTAATCGACAATAATGGCTCAATTATGGTAGAAACGAAACGTATTGCCTAGCAATAGCTATAAAAGGAGAAGACTGATCATTTGTAAGGAAACGAAAATACTATTGGAATACATTGATTTGCTTTGCATTCGGTTATTATTTCTCAATTATTCCTATTTCTATTTGATTATCAGTAACCCGAGTTATTCTAATATAAGCTTTGACCGAAATCCTTATTTTTGGTTAAACAACATAGACTTGTGATACCATGTAACAATGTATATTTCACAAAGATCTGTTCACCGTACATGGAGAGATATTTATAGTATTTTATATGTTCATAAAAATGACTAAACTATCCTTAGGTTACAATATCTATTACACAATTTTCACCATTCCAGGTAATGGAGAAACCAACTACGATTATAGGGGAGTAATATTTTCATCCTTAACAAGAGGTCTCGAGTTCGAACTTTGGGTATAGAGTTCGTTAGAGAGTGTTTTATGTAGAATTTCCTGCACGAATTTAGATTTAGTCGAGCCTCAATACAGGTAGCGAACAAAAAGTGGAACACTAAAAAAGAATAATTGCATGGACTTCCCTTCATGCTTGGTTTTATCACAATAACCTCCCTTGTGATTTACAATATGAAGCCAAACGTCTCTAAAATTATCTATAAAAAAAAATTGCACTTAGGCAACAGTGAAAATCTTTAACTAATAGCCTCAAAGAAGGCTATTTGTGCAAATAACCCTTTATATCTAACAGAGAGGGTGTTTGCCTAAACTTATAAGTTGGTTAAACTAGCTTATAAGTATTTTTCGGCTTATCTACGCATTTGGTAAAGTTAAAAGTACTTATATAAGCCAAAAGTCATAAGCTAGACACCCCCAACTTATGAATTTTTAGCTTATAAGCACTTTTAGTTTGACCAAAGTTTTTACTATTTTATTTTATCCTTAAAATATTCCTTTCTAGAAAAAAACTCTTACATCAATACTCACTGCCTCAAGTATTTTATCCTATTTAAGTTTATATTTGACTGAGAAACTTTCGCCAATTTATTAATTATTATAACTTATAATTGTATATTTATCATAAAATAAATTATATTTATCATAAAAATTATCTTATCTAAGCACAGTTGTATTTAAAATAAAATAATAAATAAAATATTTTCTATTTGAATCGATCTAGAATCTAAAATTTTAAAGAAATTACGCCCTTATACTTGTAAACAGTTCTAAGGTTATTTAAGTCATTTTAACAGAAAAAGAGCTTATCGGCACTTTTTTATCAAATATTATATAGTAACTTATTATCAATTTAAACACTTATACCTAAACACATAACTACTTATTTATTAAATTACTTCCGCCACTTAAAAGTACTTTTAGCTGCTATGCTAATGCTTGTGAGCTACTTCAGATGAGCTTATCCAAAAAGGCTCCAAATTCCTCAATCCCTTGTCAGTTGTCTCTCTCTCCTATTTCTGTTTTCTTTGCAAAACAAAGGAAAACAAGACAAGGAGCGGAAATCCAAAAGAAAATGTCGGAACCCCTCTTCATTTCACACACCGTTGCTGCTTCACTCAAGCACAAACTTCAACTTCCAAAACCCAGAAACTATATAATAAACCCATGGATGAATTGCAGTTCAGTTCGACTCACAACTAAATGTTGTGGCAAAGTCAATAATAGATGGTCCCTTAATGGCATGAATGCTCTTGTCACTGTTGGCACTCGAGGCATTGGGTACTTTTTCATTTGCTAGTTCATGATTCATGTTCTGTTTCATTGTATATGACACTATGATTATTCCGGAGTCAACCAGTTTTTAGTTGACTTTAATTTCTTAAGGATTTATAAATGAACTGCAATTTCATGCTGTAGAATGTTTACTGCCTTAATTTTTTTCTTAATTATTCAACCTACTATGGGTAGTTAACTTTAATTACTTATAAGTGTTATAAAATCTTTTTACACGGTAAGGGGTCGTTTGGTTACTGGGATTAGGATAATAATCCCCATATAAAATCTGGGATTACAATTTTCATTTACCCATGTGTGGTTATTGGTATTAGCTAAAATCGGTATACTAAAATCTTGGTGTTATCTATGCCATACTGAATGTGGGATTATAATCCCAGTATTGTAATCCGCGGATATCCTTTTCCGAAACAAACGATCCCTAAGGGTACTAGTTGTTAGAAAATTTAGTATAAGAAATGTGGTTTTCCGGATGATTTTGTAAACAGTATTCTTTGTGGAAATAACAAATGTAGCCATTGGCACATTCACACAGTCACAAACCCAATTACGATTTTACTGTAAAAATTTCGATTAAGAGTAGTGTATGTGTAGTTTTTAAATATATAGGTTATATGTCAAGAAGATTAAGCACATGAAACATTTACGATTTCAAGCCAAAAATTAGGTTCTTTGGTCTTGTACTCTGTATCATCATTCTTTTTTAGACGGAAGAAATAACTACTACAGCCGCTGGCACATGTTCAATCACAAAATCCAGTAATTTGTATGTTGTTTTCTTGATTACTCATATTTAATTGAGTATTTGCATTCTGTCGATGTGAATTGTTCTACAATTAGGCATGCAATTGTGGAGGAATTGTGTGGATTAGGAGCTACTGTGCATACGTGTGCACGGAATGAAGATGAGCTTGGGACATGTTTGAGGAGCTGGAAAGATGAGGGCTTTGCAGTGTCTGGCTCCTTATGTGATGTGTCTTCTCAAGTTGATCGCCAGAAGTTAATGGAAGTTGTTTCTTCTACATTCGACGGGAGGCTCAATATTCTTGTAGGTGTCTCATTCACTTAAGCACTTACTAGTAGCATTATATCTCAATGATATTTGTATGTAGCAACATTGTTAACCTTCATTCCGCAGTTAATCAGCAATTGGCAAATAGCACATTACAACGAAAGGCAAAATCTACAAAGCTATTACCAAAGTTGTAATGTGTTACCAGAAAAGAATGAAAAGAGAAAGTAGATCCAATTGGAACTGAAGGGTTTTTCTTTTTTAAGCTGAAAAATTAGAGCAGGGTTAGATATAAACAATACGTTCATCGGATATCAGTCTGCAATGGTTTGGAGAGTTAGGTAATGGAGATTAAATTGGAGTAAAGGCTGCCAAGGATCTTGAAAGAGTAGAAATAATTTGTCTTAAAAGATTGATAAAGATGATTCTGCCTCCCATTTGTTATCTCTATCTCTTGTCATTTGTCAACATCTCTGTCAACAATTTTAAGAAAGTATCAGAAAACAGGTCGAGCAATCTGACTCAAAATCGTCTTGTTTCATATGATGTTTCTGGGAAGCTTTCCATCTATTTGAGCCAATTAAGAAGCTCTGGTTGTTGTTATTCTCTATGCTCCTCTCGTCACTCCTAAATTCTACCTCTTATTTACTGCTTTCTGTGTTAGGTTATGTATAACTATTTCCTTGTAGAGAATAATTGGTAAAAGTAGCATTTATCCAGTTGCATATAAGTAACAACTAAAGAGTAGGAGACTGGAATTTGAATCATTGTTGGGTAATAGATACATTGCATCATGTATGTCTTTGCTCCTCAACTTATACATGTTGTCTGATATCCTAATTCTTCTTGATAATTGACCTGGCATCTCTGTTGGCAGTTGACGCAACTATCTTTGAACTTATTTTCATCTAGCTTTGTTGGAGCACTTGCATGCATTAATAGATGAACTAATAAGTCAATTGGCTTTGATTCATTCCTCAGTAGATAAACAACGTGGGGACCAATATTCGCAAAGCTATGGTGGATTTTACAGCTGAAGAGTTTTCCACTCTCATGGGAACAAATTTTGAATCTGTCTTCCATCTGTCTCAGTTGGCTTATCCCCTTCTGAAAGAATCTGGAGCTGGAAGTGTTGTGTTCACTTCTTCTGTCTCAGGTTTTATCTCATTGAAATCTATGTCTGTACAAGGAGCAACAAAAGGTAAGACCTTCCTTCCCATTTATTTACAACATTTGGGTTGATAGAGAGTATGACGGTGAAATGCCATCATCTTTTCCACTTGACTTCTTTCTGTAGGAGCAATTAATCAACTTACAAAATATTTGGCATGTGAGTGGGCTAAAGACAACATCAGGAGTAATGCTGTTGCACCTTGGTACATCAAAACATCCATGGTGGAACAAGTAAATATGAACTTTCTTCTTTTCAGTAGTCCTATTACAAATGGTGTTGTTTTTTATGAACTGCGTCCTTTTGATATCCTCTGAGGTAGTCTTTGGTCTCAAATACACGTATCCCAATTTTTCTAGCATACCAGTATCATGTATTTGACTTTCAATTCTTAAGATTAGCATAATCAGAGGGTTACATGACACTTTTATCATTTTTATTGAGGTTCAGATTCAATAGTATCTATGTCCTACATGTATCCCGATGCTTATGCGTTTTCATGCTATAACAAAACTGAACACCAAAAGAGTGGGTTCTTGGGGGGCGAACAAGAGGTCAACTAAGGTTGAGAAGTTCAAGTGCTATATTATAAGGATTCTATATTATAAGGATCATAGAATCTTCTAAAGCAACAGAGTCATTGGGTAAACTGGCCACAGGTCATGATTGTTTGAGCTTCTAGAAGACAAAGGGAAATTACTGGTGTTTCATGAAAAGTCAATGTGAGTATTGCAGCACAATGCCCACCTTGGTCCTTCATTCCCTTTGTTCCTGGAGAAAAGAAACGTTAGTATCAGAAGGGAAATGCTCATGATCAACAGAGTTCAGACCTGACAAGAGATGTCCAGTCTGGATTGCTTTCACATTGTGATAGCCTCGCGCCTTTGTAATCACTGTTGCCCATTTTTGCTATCGCAATTCTTTTGAACCAGAAAATCAAGTGTCAAATCCTGGTATAGACAGCTGAAGGGAGAGGTGCAGTGATCCACGAAATCGGAACTCTAAATCCTCAAACTATGCTTCTGCCAATACAGATCAAAAGTGCCACCCGCCCATTGCTCAGATGAGAGTAAATTAATAGTAGCAAGAGGAGAGTTTGTGTACTATGAAAAACGAGTTGGCAAGAAGAAGTTGAGCTAAGCGAGAGAGCAGCACTGGCGAGTTTGTTCAAATTCGATTGCCATTCCAATAAAAAATTTTGAGGAAGAAGTGGAAAAAAAAAGTAAAAAAAAAAAAGAGAGTAGCCATGTGGAGGTCGAGAAGAGGTCTCGAGCAGCCTAAGCCTGCAACCTGCGCCTATGTGCACTTTACGGCACACATTTTGTGCCATGCATCAACTACTCGTTTGTGGTGGTGGGTATACTCACATGTTATATAACTATTTTGTTGAAATGTTACTTTATAGTTTATACATACATACATATAGTGTGAGCCAAATGCAGCATTGTAAGAGTAGATGTAAGGAAATCGGATGTAAGGGCAGTTCATAAAGCTCAGGGTAAATACAAGAATGATGGCTCTTTTCCAGGCCCCCAGATTGGGAACAACTTATTTGGTGCTTTCTTTATGCTGATCCTCACGTTAGCAATCATCTATGAAAAAGCCATTCCGTTAACGTCATTGTATTGTCAAATTGCTAGCTGCATCAAATGTTCATTTTCTCTGTTTCAGGACGTCAACCAAACAGCAATTCATGTTTGAGTTTCTGTTTTTTCAATTGTTTGTTAATACTTAAATAACTGATGCCCTTTTCATGTTCAGGTGCTGAGTAACAAAGAGTATTTGCAAGAAGTATATGACCGGACTCCACTTGGGCGTCTGGGAGAACCATCCGAGGTTTCATCTCTTGTGGGATTCCTTTGTCTTCCTGCATCTTCGTACATCACTGGCCAGATAATCTGTGTTGACGGTGGAATGTCTGTAAATGGCTTTTACCCTCACCATGGCTAGAGGAATAGAGCCTCTAGGTATGTAGTATCACAACATTTCATAGGAAAATTTTGTCCAAATGCATTAAATGCATCGTTGGCTGGACCTTCCATTGTGTTGGAAAAAGTTTTTTTGGAAGATCAATTTTTGACTGTTGGCTCATTGACTAGTGGTAGCTTAGGAATTAAATTACTATTTAGGTAATCTTAACCTTAGTGCTCGTTCATTTTGGCAATATGAGCATTCAAACCAACTGGTTGAGCAGGCTAAAAGTACTATATCATTTCGTCCCATTTTTCCAATGCAGTGCTGGTTCTGCTATTTTAACTAGATTTCTTCATGTAAAAAGTATAATCTTGGCATTCATTTTTACACTGGTGCCATATATTAAGCCCTGCTTGCATCTCTTCAAACTCACTAGTGCAGTATATGCAACATTTCTGCAGCTTTCCTGTGCAACAGGTTTCTGAAATTGAACCATCATATCTGCCTTGTTGAGCCCTTTCTTTTGTGTTTTGATTATGTTGGAAACTCTCTTCCTTATGATGATCACTCATGGTGCCGTCTTCTCTGGCTTGATATCTTCATCCATTAACTAGACCAAGTCTTTTCCCACATAATGCTCCATGTTAAAATACCAACCTGCAGTTAGTTTGGCTAAAATGCATTTGAGTTGAGTTATCAAATGCGCACACAACATCAACAACCCCCCTCTATCCAAAGGGGCGGAAGAAGGGGGTTCGTGGTGTGTAGGGTTTTCCAAGAGTGTGTGTAGTATGTTAAACATTCTTGAGTTGAAAGAATTGAACTTCCAAGTTACCTGATAATGTGATCCAGATCTCTGTATCTTCAATAACTGACCAATGCATATTGAATTTCTCCAATATTATGTTTGATTAGCTTCAGATTGCAAGAGGTCAAATTATGTTGTCTGACAAAAAAAAATTATTTCGAAGTTGGTATGGATTTACAGCAATGTGAAGTATTGAAATTTGGTCACTTGATTGTCCAAATTTTCTACCTCTCCCCTGTCCCTTCTTGTCTTTGTTAGTGGAGAAAATAATCGAACTTTCATTCAATAGTATATGCCTCGTGCTTAGTGGTGGCAAAATGGTTCAAAGAAAAACAAGTCAGATATGGATAAGAACCATATTATCCATTTAGAAAATGGATAATCAATAGGTAACCAATGGATATTACTTTTACATTTGTAAAGCCTCAAATTGGGAGTTCCTCAAGTTAGGGAGACTAACAATTCTCTCAAAAGTGATCATATGCAAGAAGTCATGGATAATATGGTTACTCATATTATCCGCCGGTTAACCCGTTTTTTATCCGTATTAAATATGAGTCGGATTGGATAATTTAGCCGTTTTTCATTACCCGTTTCGACCCGAACCATATCCAACCCGACCCGTCCGTTTTCCACTCCTACTCGTGCTACAAACTTATGCTAAATAATCAAGGTCTATTAGAAACATGGAAATCTACTTATGAAGCAATGTTTCAATGTAAAGGTAACTACATATAGCAGCGGACCTCAAACATGTCTTACAAGTTTTTTACGCTCTCTATCTCAATTTATGTAACGTTCTTAGCGAAAATGTAGTTTACATATACGATGACATTTGCACAACCATAAAAGCATGCCATTAAGGGCAATTTTTTTTTTTAATTTAAATTGTTCCTACTCTAGAAATGTAACATTTTCTTAAACAAACTAAAAAGAAAAAAAATACACAAATTAAGCATACTCAATTAAAAATACTTTGTTTAGACAACTCCAAGGGATAGGCTATTTATGGACTCAAGAAACTATTTTGAAGTCCAAAATTAGTATTTAATTGGTACTAGTGACAGGGTTCAACTATTAGCAGCACAAGAAACAATCTATCTTGTTTTATAATCATTCAGTTTTCGAAACACACTAACCCCCCACTAATATTAAAGTTGTGTAGGGTCTAGGAGAAGTGCTTTCTATCAAGATTTTTTCCATTCCCATGGCTCGAATCCGCGACCACTGGGTTAAGGGTAGAGAATCTCATCCATCTCACCACAACTCTTGGTGGCGCATAAGAAACACTCGAAAGAATGGAACTTACAATCATATAAGAGCAAAAAGATGGGAGTGCAGATTTGCAGGGAGAAAAAGTTTTCCAGCACAATCTTCTAATTGATCCACCTTAACATAAAAATGTTTCTCTTAAAACCACAGACGAATACAACAAGCGCACAAGATGACTAGTTACAACAATTTGACCCTTGGCCTATATACTATTTCTACCGGAAACCCGTAATGTGATGCCCAAGAAGGCATAGTTTTATTCCCTTTCCCATCTTCTTCACATTTCTTTGCCCACAGCTTCGAAACGTTCATTTTCCTTCAGGGACTTCAATTTTCTGTAACCTTTGTCAGTACCAAATATCCTAACAAAACAGAGAGAGGGATCCTTCAGATCACGAATTCTACAAAGATCTCTTATTTCTATTGTTCTGGCAACAAAAGTAATAAGACATTAGCAAAGACAACACTGAGAGACAGAGGTAGTCAACACAAACACAATGTGGTGGACATATGAAATCGCTGTCTCTGTCGAACTACAAAGAGAAATCATACAGAAAATACACATTTTTATCAAGCATACACATGCAGTATTTAGCTTCTGTAACCTCCCATGCACACAGGAATAGAGCCACATACCATAATAGGCTATTTAAGTTTTAGAAAGAACTGCCAATGAAATCAAATTTTACTCTCATATTAAAGGAGTTCTCTGGAAACCTTGTCTTAAGATTAGCACAAGTGGAAAAGAGGAACTTGAAATGCCACAACCAGATTACTCAGCGGTTTCAGCTTACCACATATTAGAGATCCATCACCAAGAAACTTTAACACATGAAGAGAAAGTAGTAACACAATAAACAGCTTAACGAAGTTTTTGTCAGAGAAAAATGGCTGAAACTCCCCAAATTGCATTGATCCTTGTGAGGTGCACGAGTGAAAAATCTATTTTTTTTACAATGATACAATGAACTCTATATATAATATATATTCTACTCCTACTAGGCTACTACATATGGGACTAGGACATATTCTACTCCTACTACATATTGGGCTAGGACTATTTACACATAACTATCTAACAATCCTCAAAGCTTCCTCCCAAATTCGTGTTAGCATTTTCTATCAAACTAATAAGTGCATCTATGATACTTCCTATTATGCCTGGTGAGACATTTCTCTAAGCATTATGCTCATATAATCATGTTGTTTAGTTTGTTTCAGTTATTGTATTCTCTTGTTATTACTAATTTGGTGCTACTTNATTTCTTTCTTTTCTTCTTCTTTCTCTCCCTCCGCTTCTTCTTATTCTCCTCCTCCCTACTTTTTTGAGCCGAGGGTCTATTGGAAACAACCTCTACCTTCACTAGGTAGGGGTAAGGCCCGCGTACACACTAGCCTCCCCAGACCACAAGTATGGAAATATAGTGGTTATGTTGTTGTTGTTGTTCTGGATTTCACAAAACCACATACAAGAGATTTACATTGTGTTGGGAATGCAAAATGCATAAACACAAAAGTGCTAAGAACTTCACCACTGACAAGCATGAGTAGATTACTTTCAGAGATGTACTCAACTTTTTCTGAAGTTACAACATATTTGCTCATTGTGCCCACAATTACTATTTAAAATGTAACTTCCTCTCTTTTCTCCAAGTTGTGAATATACCAATTTTACAGATTTTAATATTCAATGTATTTTAATCTATCCAGTTTACATTAACAACTCCTGGCTAGCTGGTTCTAAATTTTTCTAAAAATAAAAAAAGTAAAAAATAACTATCCAATATCAGGCATCGCCTTTGCATCAGGGGGAAAACAAGTTCCCTGTGCTATTGTTTAAAATAAGGTTGTAGTAATAGAGGAAGATGGAATGAAGCCCATCATGGAATTAATACTGAATTAGTTTACAATGCACTAAGCCACTAAACCAACAGAAACTATGGCACAAACCTTACCAGGTTGACTACAAACACAACTTTCACTATTAGCTCATAGTATCTGCCTATTCCCATACAAATGTTGTCTGTAGTAATCTGTACTTTATCCTACAACTAAAAGATACTAAGGAACTAATAATGTTTTAGATACTCTTCATAGTACATTAGTTCATGTTTATGGGTCGACTGGGCTCCTTATGTTACTTCATAAAACTTCATGGCCTTCTCTAAAGGGCTTACTGCCCCATCCATTGCAGCTTAGCTTGCATAAACGATAACCAGCCCTATAGAATTACATAGAGAATCTTAACCTTTTTCAATTGTTTGACNGTTTGTTGGACGAAAGGAAAGTTAAGCACAACTCTTTCAGATAAGAGTCACATGTATTCATATACTGAACCAATCAGAACTTGACATTTTTCTGTTAGTTAAATTACACTAGGGTATTAATGTTTAAAGCAATGCGCGGTAAGTGTTACCAGTCCATGTATACAAATGTTGACGAGTAGTTGCCGGACTTCGTGTAGAGCAGTCGATGATGATAATCATGAAAATCAGCCCTGGGAAGAATAATAGCAATTTCAGGAATCTGGAAAACAGATAAATACAAATGGGTGATTTCTAACAGTAATAAAGTAATGTACAGACCCCCCATATAGTGGCAAGAAGTTTGACGGGCTCCAAGGGAAATGGTACCCGGAATGTGCCTCAACTGTCTCAAGGACTCTAAGTGAGACCCAGAGATATAATGTTATCAAATGGGGGCCCGTGATTGCAGGACCAATTATTGTAGCAAATCCAAGGAAGAGAATTTCAGCAGGGTGAGCATACTCAGAAGTCAACCCAAATGGTGTTGCGTACCTGTGGTGTAAACAAGCAGACGCTCTGACTGCATGGTGAAAAAAAAATAGAAACCCAAGTATTAAGCAGAAAACATAATGTTGTTCACATACTCATGATGGACACTGTGGACATGCTTGTAGAGCCATTTCGTATGTAAAATCCTGTGTCCCCAATAAAACACAAAATCCTCCAAGATGAAATAGAATATTATTTGTGTTGAAATCACTTTCCTGCACAAGCAAAATATTTGCAATTTACTCTAATGAATAAACAAGAACAGAAAATCACTGCCACACCTACTAAAAAATTATACAACAATTACGCCTCAATTCCAAGCTAGTTGGAGTTGGCTACATGATTCCTCATTATCCCAAAAATAAAACGAAGTCTCATTATCCATGTTGTTCCAGTTAGGCCCATCCTTATCAATGTCGTCTACAGTTTTACTAACATATAAATCTCTAACAACATTATAAATCCCCTAACAGACATTGTACTTGAGTAAGTTTACCAACATAACCAAATCTTAACCCCTCACTATCTTTTCTTTCTCTGTTATATCATATTTTTTGCTAAGTTTGCCTGAATTCTAAAACCAAAAATAAAAAGAAATAAATAGCAAAACCAAAGAAAGGAAGATTAGAAGACCAAAAAAAAAGAAAAGAAAATACAACGATTATGTGTTGCCATCACATCACTATAGCTTGGCATATGAAAAATCGAAATTACCAGGACGGCAGTGGAAGACTACTTCGCGTCCCCATGAATTTAAAGACAGGATATGATCCAAGCAGGATTGGGAGATTAACACAAAGATGATACATCAGCAGACGAGTGATACATTTCTCCTGAGCTTCCGGGCTGTTATTCTTCTTCTGCACCAAAAGAGGTCAAGAATGCAAAAATATGAAAGTTCATCCGAATAACGACAGAATGAACTACTACGAAAGAAAAACATCATAACCAGATTTTATCAAAGTACTTGTGCCAAACACGAATGCTTTTGCAATATTTTCACAAAGCTTTTTCCAGAAAATGTTTTCCGAATGCAAACCAAAATAGAATTCGAGCACCAGTCTTAAGTTGAATATAATTACAGTTTGGGAATGTTTAATCAAGAAACATCATTCCATTAGAAGAGTCAAAAAGTAATACCTGAATTTTGTACTTTCCAAACCACCCTGCTCTTTCAAAAAGAATGAACGGGAGTCCAGACAAGAAGAAGACACTCTCATGAAGAACAAACCCACCAAGACAAGTCAATTGGAAATCGCTGAAATTTGAAATGAGATACTGAAAAAGAAAGAATAAATCAAAAGTCTATTAAACAGGTAACTAGTACCTCATTACTCTAAATAAGAATGAGTGCACTGGTAGGACTAGTCAGTCCACATAACCGAATAGACTTTTAATTGGAAGCAGACGAGAGCCAGATTGCAAACTTGATTGAGAACAAAGAAAAATAAGTTCACATTAAGAATGTGTTTTGTCATGTTAGGCTACGTTAGTCTCAAACATTTTACCATGGAGAAGTGGTGAATGCTAACAAGCTTGAAATATTGCAGCGTAACGAGCCATGGCTTCACCCCTGCTTTTTCTTTTTTCGTGCACTTCGAACCAGCATTTTTTAGAAAAAATTCATTGAGCATGAGATTTGAGATTGAACCGCTCTCTTTCTCTCTCTCTCTCTCTCTCAAGGCAGCTCATGATGGGGTTTGAACCCCAAAGATGGAATCAACCTCAAATTTTGGGACTAGCAAACTAAGACATCAGTCCAAAGTTTCTGTGAAAAGATTGATTTGGACTTCCCTGAGTGCAAAATGCATGTCAAAAACTTCCAAACCTGAGATGGCTACGTTGTTTCCAATTTCCTAAGTTATTTTTCAATCAAGGGCGGATATACCTTTTCCCAAGCGGTGTCTTAGGACACACCTCTTCGTCAACATTTTTTACTAGATGTGTGTATAGATAATAAGCAAAATGAAAATATTGGATATAAATATTAAAAAAATGGCACCACTTGTCATTATACTAATTTATTCATTTGTTCAATTCTTCAAATACTAACATTGCTTATGAAAAATCTTGCATACACTGCTGGTTTCAATAATACCATGCTAACAAACTTAATAAGCATCGGATAACTTCATGCTCTTACTCCCTATCCATCTCTAATTTCCATGCTTGCTGCCACAACAGAATTCTAAAAGTCCAACCAGCTTTTGCTCCCACTCCTAATCTTGTTTCCAAACCCACAACAACAACAAAAAAAAAAAAAAAAAACCTAGTGGAATCCCACAAGTGGGGTCTAGGGAGAGTAATGCGTCAGACATTACCTTCAAACTCACTATGACTACATAATTACAAACTTATCAACATTTGAGCTCCACCTACTTCAAACTTGGCCGCTAACTCTCATGTGTGATATATAAAAAATTATCAGAAAAAATATTTTGCAAAAATGACTTATTTTTTGAAAAAAATTTATCAGATTTTTTAACATAATTTTCAATATTTAATAAATGTTTTTTTAAAAGTGTTTTTTGCATTTGGTTGGATATTAGAAAATATTTTCCAGAAAAAAAAATTGTTCAATATTGACAAAAATGTTACAAAAATCGGATAGTGGTTTTTGAATAATAAAATTTAGTACTAATAAAGATTGACAATATCATCAAAGTGTATGTTGAAATGACTTCTGTATAAAAGTGAGGGAAGTTATTTTCCCTTTCGGTGGAAATATTTTCCTTGAAAAAATATATTCCAACAATCATACACCAAAAAATGACTAATTTTCTAAAAACATTTCCCAGAAAATATTTTCATTATGCCAAAGCCCAAACACACCTGATCAGTAACTTCAGAAAACAACAGAATAAACAGAATTTCCACGGCATATCAAATTTTAGTTATTTACTTCAATAATCAGCTCCAGTAGGACAGTAGATCAATCAATTAACTACATCAATTTTTTTCCTTTTTTGATGATGGTGGTGTCCAACCACCTTGCACGAACCTCGACTGATTCCATCTGGAACCTACTATCTCTCACCAGCACTAATTCCATCAACTACTTCACAAACTTGATGTCGGCTATATGAAACAGAGAGTCCCATAACTTAACAATCACATAATGCATGGAGCAATGAAATTATCAAAATGCCACAAATTCATATTCCAGTCAAAGTCAAAGTCAAACACATTTGTTCATTATTACTACTGCTACTACACATGAATGCTAAATGCTAATGATACAAACAAACAATCAATGTTGCGCCCATTCTGCTCATAAATGTACTGTTCCTCATGCATCTAACCAAATATAACAGCCGCATTGGGCGAAAACGCAGAATGTAGTTCTAGAACAAATTCGAACCTTCTAGAAGGTAAAAAAAAGGAACAAATTCGAAGCTTCTGGAATATTAAGAGAAAAAAAAAGGATAATCAGGTGAAAATTGATGTAAAAAGAAAAGAGAAGAGTACCGTCCAAGCAGATTCAATGATGGAAGCCATTGTTGAAACAGATTCGATCTATTTGGTATTTAGTGGCATTAATAAATAGAGGGAGAGAAAGTAGCAACTGGAAAATTGAAGAGAGTGGACCGCTATAGTTTAACGGGTAGGTGTCTAGTGACTATCAAATTTAATTAATAATATATATATATATATATATATATTTTGTAAGTAATTGATATTTCCATTTTAATTTGTAACTGTTAAAATTGAAATAGTAAGTAATTTGATGTAAAACAGTATAAATATTTTGTGTCTTTTACATGTCTTGGAAAAGCACCAAGGAGAGAGACGGTTTCATTAAGATGTGAGAGGTGCAGTAGAGACAAAAACGATGAAATGTACAAGTGGGAAATAGTAGATTTTTTTGTTAAATAATTGAGATGTGTGTATAGTGGTCTGAATTTAAAAGAATGATTTTACGTGTTAATAATTGACTTCTGTTATGAAATAAAAGCAATTTAGTAAAACATGAACAAGAAATAAAGACAATTTAGTAAAACATGAACAAGAAATAGAGATAGAGAGAAAGGAAGAGATTTTCTTCTTAAATTGTGTGTATTTTCCTATCTATTATAATGCCTTTATATAAGCATGAAAAGTGAAGAAAATATGTCATGGAATATGTCATTGAACATAGAAAATATGTCATTAACCATTTGAGAGAAAGACCATAGAGGAAGAGTAGACATCCACCATATTTTGATTTTTATCATAACACTCCCCCTTGGATGTCCATAAATAATGTGTCTCGTTAAAACCTTATTAGGAAAAAACCCTATGGGGAAAAAAATCCTAATGAAGGAAAAAGAGTACACATATTTAGAAATACGCCTTTTGGTTGCCTCGTTAAAAACCTTGCAAGGAAAACCCAATGGGACAAACCTTGTAAGGGAAAAAGAGTACAACGCGTATTAACTCCCCCTGATGAGATCATCAGTCACATCGTTGAGCCTTCGTATCCCAATCTTGTACACTAGTTTCTTGAAGGTTGATGCCGGTAGATATTTGGTGAAAAAATCAGTCATATTATCACTTGAACGAATCCGTTGCAAATTAATATCACCATTCTTTTGAAGATCATGTGTGAATAATAATTTAGGTAAAATGTGTTTTGTCCTAGCTCCTTTATGAATCCTCCCTTTAATTGGGCTATGCATGTTGTATTTTCTTCATACAAAACTGT